TGATAAAGAAAGTGAATAAGCCCAAATTAAACATCCACTGTCGAGGTTCTCCGTGAGGAAGTCTAACTCAGCAACACGCGTACTGCTTACGTTATGCACATTCCCACCACATTGAGTCTCTCCTCGGCAAGAAACAACCGCAAGCAAAAATTGCAATAGCGTTTCTCTTCAGTCAACTTCATTTTAATAATGTTACTTCACATGCTCTTTTTTACGGAGGCCATCTTGTTATGCGCAGTAAGAGATGCGCAGTGCAAAACCAGGGAATCACCTTAAAAGCTCCCCACTTATTTCTTTCACTTGGGTTTAAAATTTCAGTAAATTTAACCATGTTTAAACTAGAAATGCCCTTTACAAGTCAAACTGTATAAATGTGTGTGAGCTGAGTGTTTTCTGACCCAAAACCGCTACTGTATGACTCAACCCCCCATGTGACTAGACTTGTAATGCTTATGACCCTACCCAAGACATTTTGTTGTGTTAGTATTATGAGGTGTCATAAAATGTGCTTTTTGCTCTTGAAGAAAACTGTAGTTAGAGTTAAGTCTGTAAGATTTGTTCGCGATGAGGCATTAAAGTTATAATGTTAGTGCTATCAAAAAGAGAAGTCGTTTTGGAGTTATAACAGAATAGTGCACTTAATCTTGGCATTAAACTTATAGCAGCAGGGTGTACTATAAAACCTTAAAGATTATACCTCTTTTTCAAGCTTCTTCATTGTATCATTCAATTTTGCACCACAACCTGTGTCGCCATCATCTTGTTGAAAGTGATATGGAAACCCTCTAGCCTCACTCAGTCTTTTGTATACATACTGCTGAGCTATTGGCATGCTCATAAAGAACCCAAATGCATAAAAAAACATGACTGGTTCCACTGTAAGCATCATCCTCCATGACAACCTTCTTGTTGTTGACATGGCAATGCAAGTGAGATTAACCTAACAGGATGAAAACAAAATTATAACCAGATTAATCATGAAATAGAATAAAAAAATAATTATTAATCCCTGAGTGTCAAACTACTAAAGGCAGTAATTCACTATAATAACAGAATGGCTAGTGTTAAGTCCACTCCAATGTTTTTTACAGGTGCTAATTGTTACACATTTGATAGGATGAGTGTTATGTAGGAAATTAAAACACTTCATGACATCATCATCATCACTAAATCAGTCAGCCACATCCCAAAGGGGAGGGGGGTTGGGGACTAAAAGCAAGCTGCTTTGAGTTTGAAACCCTGACCCGGTTTAGTGCAAAAAATATTCTACAATTCAGACACTGTTTAGGACAACAGTGTCAATTTTATTACCCCTGACTGTTTAAGACAAAGAACATAATGCACTCTGTCTTTGCCCAAAATTATATACCTTGTTTAGTACACACTTGTGTGAAATTGTATACCCCGTTTTGGGACTTAGACGACAAAAACCAAGCTCTATCCAGCATCCAGCAGGCCATACAACAGAGAAGCTTCAACAACGGCCCCCAACCAACCCCCCGCCCCACCATCACCTCACCCCCCGCCGGTAGCTGCATGAAGGTTTCGCATACAACTTTCCTGTTTCAGCATACTGACTTTATCTGCAGTACAGCAGTTAAATTACAAGTTAGCAAGGCAATATGAGAAGCTTCACTTGACAAATCTGTGGCCAAAGTAGCGGGAAACATTATATTCCGAGTGAAACAACAGCCAAACGGGTTTTGACTATAAGTCATTGCACAATATATAGCGAGATGGCGAATGAGAAAGTTGAATTAGTTCTGTCTTTCATCCAACATAGCCGGATAGGACTTCAATCAATTGCTTATAAACAAGCCAAAGATTTCAATATGGTTCCACACTTGCATAAGAGCTCATACGCGATCGGCTGAGCTGCCAAATTTTAGGTGGCGTGAGTCAGCTGAGTCAAGTACGTGTACAGGAAAAAATAACAAACGTTTAAAGAAAAACATACCTCCGTAACTGTGCTCCGCAAGTGTACTATAACGTTTGGATGGAAATACTGCTATTTTGATTAAACAATGAATTTTTAACCCACAATCAGATAGATGAGTCAGCTCACATTCCTTGGAGATTGTGCAACCGAGTCACGAGTTTACCTATTTATTATTTTTCCACCCCCCGTCACACAACGATGCTCCCGAACGCAAGGAACACGAAGGAACACAACTAACAAAAGGTGGTGGTTTGCAAAGTTTTTTCTTTCGAAAAGAATTTTTTGGTAAATTACTGAACAGTTTTCCGGCCCCTCAATTGAGATTTTACCATCTTTTTAAGACTCTTAAGCGACTTGAGTAAACTTTCTCTCAGTTTCAAGACAAAAACATAACTGTGAGGTACAAAAATAATAACAATGTTATAAAACAGTTAGTTCATGCTTCAGCTGTGCCTATGTCGAGATATTGAGTACTTGGAGGGAGTTGCGCCTCGAGCAAAGCCTCTTTCGTGTTCTCCAAACTTCCCAAGTGCTCAATATCTCGACATACGCGCAGCTGAGGCATGAACTAATCGTTTTATAACATTGCCGAAGCGATCAATGCGGAAGTGAACTTAAATTTTTGTTATTGTACCAGTACGCGTCTGTTTACCTCACAGTTATGTTTTTGCCTTGAAACTGAGAGAAAGTTTACTCAAGTCGCTTGAGATCACTCTCAAAAAGATGGCAAAATCCAAATTGAGGTGCCGGAAAACTGTTAGTAATTCACCGAAAAATTCTTTTTGAAAGAAAAACCTTTACAAACACGCCATAGCTCGCACAGCTCGTGCAGATCATGACAACAACAACACTCACCTCTTTTCCCTACTTTAGGTTAACAAATTCAAACGTTTTTTTTCTTGCGAAACACATAGTTAACGCTTCATCTTGTACTGTTGAGTAATGGGTGCACTTGGGAGACGCCTTGGGACGATTGCTTCGAGGTATAGTTTATCGACGTCAATAGCGTGCTCAATGGGAGGAATACGAAGCACACTCGCGCTATTGGCCATTTCGGAGTTGCGTAGGGAACTGGGGCGAGTTTCAAATTTAAACTAATCGATAAACTGACTGACACCATCACATAAAAGGTCATGTTAAGATTGGTCATTTGACCAAGTTTGCTGCTCTAAAGTTGTACAGGGATCAAGTTATGACTCTTGAAACATGGTTAAAAATCCATACAAACGTCTATAATTTTGTGACAGCGTCCCTCAAAACCATATAAACGTTTTCTTTGAAACTGTAAAATTCGTCATGCATCTACTACTTGGGAGGAACTAATTCGAAAATCACTGTGTTTGCCCATTTTTACGAATATCACAGAAATCGTGAAAAAAATTAAGAGTTTATATGGTTTTGGGGGACGCTGTCACAAAATTACAAAGGTTTGTATGGATCTTTAACCATGTTTCAAGAGTCATAACTTGATCCCTGTGCAACTTTAAAGCACCAAAATTGTTCAAAAAACCAATCTCAACATAATCTTTTATATGGTGGTGTCAGTTTATCGATTAGTTTGAATTTGAAACTCGCCCCAGTTCCCTAGGCAACTCCGAATTTGATTAGGCGAAGATGGAAGCTGATTACAACAGGGCTTTGTCGCGCCATACCACAGGCAGACCACCCTTTGTTAAGAACGTCATGACTAAAGGCTGTTTCACAGATTTGAATGTTAATGTTTTAATTTCAGTTCAAATTCAAACAAAATGTTAACTTTCGTCCGCGGTTTTTTTGTTCTGTACAAGGCGCAATTATCAGAGTTCTTTTTCCCGATGATGGGAGAGACAGAGATGCGTGGCGTTAAGTTAATTGAAACGGAGGGGTGACAGGGTAAGCAACAGATCAGGCTGTTTCCCTTTTGGCTAAGAGACAATATGGGCGCTTACTATAACTGGTGTCTTTCTTGATTTTTAAACGTACCGCGGAAATAAAGGAAAGAGTCGGTCAATGTAAGCCAAGATCAGTAGCTAGCTATTTAAGAAAGGCGGCTTTATCTCGACGATTTAAAACAAGAGACTTTAAACAGTCTAGGATCAGCCTTTTTTAACGGTGGAGGGAGTGATCTTTAAAAGTGTGTACTGAAAACGGCTTTGTAGTTCCTCCAGCCGTGCATTAGCCTGTGGAGAGGACTGGAAAGACGTATGCGTTACCAGACTAGCCGTGGAGGCGAAAGTTTAAGAAAACGTTGAGAATATAACTAAAAGCTCACATTTTATCAAGAGCTTTAATTTTATGCGTGTTGATTGAAAATAAAATACAAATAAAACTACATACGGTTTTTAAATAAGCTTTATGTTACCTTTTTCTAACAAAACTAGCAAAAAACAAAACTAAACTAAACACTACAAATGACAAAGTATGTGTGCACTGTAACACAATTCAGATACCATACAGTTTTCATGATTTGATATTGATTTTAGTTCCTGCTACCCACAGCCGTTCATTTAGATTCTCTTCTTTTAAACAATTTGTTAATCTTTCCATCTTATATTTTGAGAAAATGCGTCTATCGGCACAGGATACCCAAACTCACAGTTTGAGTGCTGAGTGCTCAGTAAGGTAAAACTGTGCCTTTCTAATATTTCATTTATGGCGTTTATATGGGAACATGAAATTTGAAAAAAATGAACTATAATCATAAACTTATAGACCAGTGCAGACACACACAAAAAAATAAAACTACTTTTGCTACATTAAGTGTCCTTAAAGTTAATTGTGTCTTCACGGTATCTTTACTGAGTATGAGTTAAGAATAATGATTTTTTTCCGAATTTTCTGTACGTTGCGCAAACATTAGAGAGGTACAGTGTTCTTGAACCGTCAAACCGAGTGATTGAGAAATCTTGTAGCCAAATTTAGAAAAAAACAGAAGCTAGAAGATTAAAACAGAAATTCGTTGAAAATTGCAATCAGTGCATTACATAACGAGAGAGATATCAACACTTCGAAAAATGACGGGCTCTATGCGTTGATTAAGCGATTTTGCGAACACTATATCCTAAAGCTATTACTATGTATTTTAAAACTTGGCGTCATCATGCCCGGCTGCAGTTACGTCTTGCATGGGTAAGTGCTGTCCAGTAATCTGTTTCTCGTCAATCATGGATCCTGGGTATAAATCAGATAAAAGTTGCCTTTGGAAGAACTTGTAAAAGCCCTCCAGTCTTTGTAGGTTGGAGTTCAGTAAAAAAGAAGCCATTTTTAATCTGCGCGAGGAATTTTCTGTTACCTTTGGATAGGTGTCGAACCAATAAGTAAAACGTTATTCGGAGAAAATCCGGCACATACGTTAAACTCGTTAGCTCAATTGTTAACGTACCAGACTTCAAAACGGTAGACTTTGGTTTGTTTCAGACCCCTGCAGGATCACAGAATGCTCTGCAAGGTCCTGAATAGAAAATAGCTGGGAAGTTGCTGCTTTTGCTTCACTTTTGCATATGGTCAGACATTCTTACTTTTCCTCTCGGATAAGTCGATAAAGACGAAAAACCGCAAGCCCTTTTGCAGAGAGCATGATTTTCACTTAATCTTTTTCTATGGGGCGTAAAAGAATCACTACAGGCGTAAAAATTACAAAAAAAAAAAGAAAGCAAAGGGGTCTGAACTGAAAAAGCGACGAAGGTGGCTCAGTTTAAACACCTTTTGCAAAACCGAAATTCTAGCACTTTGCTCCCCTCGTACAAACACAATTATGATCGAATTGCCTGGTTATTCTCAGCTCTGGGGAGCGATTGCCTTTTAAAAAAGCTTTCTTCCTCTACCACCACAAGGAACGCTGTCCCAGTAAAAGAGAAGATACCAAAAGCTCCTGATGATCGGCTGTAACATAATGATATCAAGCACTGGTTACCTGTAGTTATTATTGTGAGGTTGCTGGCTGTCGATGCAGTCGTCGAGGTTCTGTCCCTTAGAAACAAAATCTTCATTCTTGTCCTCCTTACGGATTTGACCAAACTATCCTTTATCTAAAAAAAGATTGAGAACGTTATCTAAAGTATATATATCTGACCAAGTTCCAAAGCTATCGCATTTTACGCCATTTCTTGTCCTTTTGCCTTTAATTTGCTTCACTGTCTGTGCATCCCATTGTAAAGCTTGCTCGAGAATGACCAGAGGTTAAACTGAGGAATCTGAATGCAAAACGAATTCTGGCGTTTCTCAATTATTCAAATAACCCAAACTCCGTCATGTTCTAAATAAGTTTCTGCAGATCATAAAAGGACCATAGTTAAAACTGAAAAGCTGACAATTTAAGATTTCGGCAGCCTGATTGTTTCTGAAATACCTGGTCATCCAGCAAACCATGAAAGATGCAAAACAAAAGTCCCTGTAGAGAAAATGAGAGAGAAACTGATGGTTGTTATTTAGTCACAGATAGTACACAACACGACAGTAAGATAGTTCATCAATGCGCATGCGAGAAAAGTTTACCAAATTTTGTTTAGGACATACCCTCGCACTCTCACAGTTCTGACGTTTTTATCGTATTTGTTTGTACTAAGATTTTATAGAAGAATCCTTCCGTTATATCGCCCTGGCCTGGACCTACTGTTACATATCACTCGCCGCGTACGAACGCTTGTTATTGTAAATGTAATTTAATTACCCACGAAACCCTAAGGAGCTCTAAACAACTCGTTTAAAAGTGATCGAGCGATTCGAGCTGTGATTGAAGGTGTTGATATTTCAGCTGGTACCGTATTTCCTCGAATAATAGCCAGGGGGCAATTATCTTATTTTACGCACCAAAATGGGGCGATTGTTTGATTGAAGGCGATTATTCGAGACAGTTTTGCGTGCATGCGTAAGATCGCAGCAGCTGGACTAGGGAGCTTGCGGCCCTGCTGGATTACGGTAATGAGGATGCGGCTAGTTTAGTTATTTGCCTTTTATTTGTCAGTTTACGCTATGTCATGTAGTGTTGTATCTGCTTTTAAATATTCATTTTTGTTTATTACCAGCCTTTTATAATTACCTGTAAAGAGTTTAAGATGATAAACAGATACTGGATGATCTCGCTTAATTCAGCGACAAACCCTAGCAGCCACGTGACTCCCAGTAAGGGAAGAAGGGCAGCAACACTCTTCATTCCTTTTCTGTGAAGAAAAAACGCGATGAATTAGGGGCTCTCTTTAAAACGAGGAACGGGGATTCGGAGAGACGGGGAATGAGGAACGAAGAACAAATTCCCCTTCGCCAAAAAATTCCTCATTTTAAAGATTCCTGCTCTTGAAGATTTTCCATTTCAAAGATTCCCCGTTTTAAAGATTCTCCGTTCCTCATATCAAAGATAGCCATGCATGATTTAAGGGAGAAGTCACACCAACTCTCCTTAGTGGCCCTTTGAAAGTACAAACCAACGACATTTCTTTACCAGTGTTAAGGAAAAATAAAGGTCAAATTTTATTTAAAATAGCTATTCCGGCAAAGGGAAACTCTGCATAAATGATTTCGAATACCGAGCGGGCTATCACGGTACTTTTCAGAATGGCAATCATTGAGAAAAGTCGGGCCAACCTTCTAAGCTGGTATGTCAGCTTTCAAAATCAAAAGCTGTATTATGGAACAAACCTTATAAACAGAACAGCAAAAGCACACTATGAACCGGTGAGTTTAGTGGGCGGATCTCTCATAAAAAAATCTACCTATCACTGAGTAGACCGAAAAGATTTAAAATTGAACAGGAAACTTATCTTCAAAGCGAATAGAGAATCGAAGGGAAATCTCCCGGGCTAAAATGAAACTAAAAGAGTTACATTCTTTGTTCCAAGAAGATGGCTTGCCTTAGATACTGTTATATTTTACTTACTTGGCTTTCTGGACATGGTTACTATGATACTTGATTGATATCTTAGTAAATATCACTCTTAACAGAACCACGAAGATAATGACATTGATCTGCAATGATACAATATTGTTAGGGAGTATTCATGCTTTCTTTTTTTTTCTGTTTATGGTATGCCTGATCTAGATGATACAATTGGTAGCCTTTGGTCGTAACTGAGTTATTCTATTAAGTAACTTCCGGTCTACTATAGAAGACGTCACTATACACTAGCTAAAGTATACTTGAGTGACCCGCCCTTTTTGGAGTAGTACATGGATTGAAAAAGACAAAATTATGAATTAGAATTTTTAATGACCGCTGTAAAAGCTAACTCGAGAGATGAAGGGCACGGTGCGTGGACAACGGAAGTTGAAGTGAGGGACGGGGGATACCCTGCGAGCAGTAGCCTGGAAATACCACTGCTCGCAAAGGAGAGAAAAATACAGAGTTTTATAACCTGTCTCTGGCCCCCACTGTATTCCGTACCTTCCTCCTGTGATTCACGCATGCTTGAGCTAATTCTAGTGCTCGCTAGCCCCCTCCCCTCCCCTCCCTTCACGTTCCCCGCCCATAGGAAAACAGACGCCTGAATTGCTGGCTGCATCACAGTTTGCACAGTGTACTTACAAGTCGATACAAGCTTGCGTATTACCATAAGTTATCTGTAAAACTAAACGAAGACTGGTATACCGCAAGATGTATTGCTGAAATGAAAAGACGCAGCTTACCAATAGGATTGTCAGGATTGGTGCTTTGTACAGCCATTCGCCATCATGGAGCCAACACCTCATGAAAATCAACAAAAATTTCCACTTTTTTTGTATCCCTCATATATGACTTGTGCTTTCATAAACATACTGAAGATTTATTATAGTATAAAGAACAGAGGTACTGGGACAAGAGTCACCAATTCAGCTGCACCGTCATATACATACCGTTAATCCTCTATTACCCCCGGGGGGGCTTATTTAGTTCAAACACATTTGAGGGGGGAGGTTAATAGAGACGGGAGGCTTACTTGAGAGGGGCGCTTATTTAATTTACCAAAGACAACGGTGTCAGTTCTCCATAAAGAACTAGAAAAAAAGAGGAAAAGCTCAAGTACAAAAAGTTGGAGATCATGCAGCCGAGGATCAAAAACAAATCCAAACTTCTATTTGGTGAATAAAACATCCCTGATCTGCAGTCCCCGCGAAGTTTTACAGTCGTGATAGATTGATACAGCTATCAAAATAGTGAGTAATAATAGGGGGAGGAGAGGGAGGGGACTTATTACATGTTTTTCCCATGAAGGGGGGCTTATTAGAGAGAAGGGGCTTACTTGAGAGGTCAAGAGGGGGCTTAATAGACGATTTACGAAATCATCCACTCTCTTGAGCGTTATGTTAAGAGAGGGCTGCACCACCTAGACTGCGAGAGCAGAAGCCTTTCGGCTCTTGTTTCACCCGCCTATCGCGAGAAAAGAGCTCTTTTCTCAGCGGGTGAAACAAGAGAGCAGAAAAAGGGTTCTGCTCTAGCCTGCACATAAATGGGTCATATCAACTAACCTGGTACGTATAATTTCGGCGGGAAGTTTCAGTGTTCCGCACATGACTTCTTTGTAGTAAGTCTTAGACATATCATATGTCAGAGGCCTAATGGCTGCTATCAGCCCAACGATAACCACAGGAAAACCTGGAAACAGTTACAGATTAAAAGCTGGCTTTTTGTTTTTGCATCTTGAATGGTCCCAGGTGACTGGGGCAATACTAACACTTTGCAGTTAGAGGTTTATGAAAGGAGGGAGGTGCTTACGTTCGAAAAAGTTGGATGATATAAAAATCACGGAATTTAAACTTAACATGAAGCTGACAGTAGTCGAACAGGCGAAGGAAATGCGAGAGTATAAGGTATATTCGTGCCGCATGTATTTGGGTTAGAAAATTATTTTATCAATAATTAGCTAGGATTAATGAAGGCAATCGCAGCTGAACTCGCGTTTTGTATTTGGGGAAAAAAGAGAAAATCTTTTATCTAAGAGCCTAGTAAAAAAGAGCTAATCACGCGATAAACTGGCTTGTCCATTCAATCAAACTCGTCCCCAGGAGGCTCGTCACGAAGTGATACTAGCGAGTGAAAGATTTTCTTAGGGACGGATGTCACGAAGTTGCCCATGGCCACTCGATAACCGCAGTCAACGCGCACACCTTAATTGCCCTCTTTCGGTATATCAGAATTTTAATATGACTCGAGGTCTGGTCAGTTCTGGTCTTATTTCTGTATTTGGTTTGGTTTTCATTGTGTTCAAATCTCTTCTGAGAAACGATTGCTGGTTTTCCAATGACGTCACTGAAACTCAAACTACAAAACTATCGATCCTACTGAGAATTTACTTTCATGATGTATTACAACAGCTGAAAACTAATGTTCATACAAATTTTCACTTCAAAAGCGTTCTTGGTTTTGTGTTAGAGTACGCTTGAATTTCTAAGCTTTTGCGTGACGTGGCTTTTACGTTACGGCCGAGAGAGCTGTCATGTAGGTTTAAAAAGTGAGTTATTTCGGGGAATTTTGCTATTTAAACTATTAATGTATTAGAAAAAGCATTACTTTACTGTTTATGAGTTCCTCGAGGGAAAAATTCACGCTTTTGTAGCAAAACTCGGTAACAGACGTTTCTGTTGGTTTCCGTCCACCATGTTGGTGCCCATCTAGGTGGGCATTTTGCCGCCTTTCATTTCCCAGATTCTGGCCTTAAATTATTGAACAGTTTTAATTTTGATTTTGATTTATTTTGAATGGCGTGACACTGAAAACAAGCAATAGGATCGAGAAAAATTAACAGTTTGTACGTAAGAGCGTCATGTTAGAATTTTAATCTATCGAACGTGGGCTATTGAGCAGGAGGAAGCCTGGAAACTAGGTTGCTGGTGTGTTTTTAGCAGTAAGAAATTTTGACATGATTACCCCAGCCGATGATAACGTATGTGATGTAAAGCTTCCGGACCGAGAATACTTTCACCAGTTTGACGTAAAGATGAATTCCTTCCACCAGCATCCACGTAAATATGGCGGTACGCGAAAAATGCTGAAAAACCGCCATAAATGAACATAATTTCTGTAAGAAAGAAAATAGATGCATTCATTAAACAGTAAACTTCCCACTTAACAGCGCAAGGTACAAAACTCAGCTGAAATATAGAGTGTTAGTTGCTGCGTCGTTGGAAATGGAGCGATCGTGCAGTTGTAATCGTAGGTTTTGTGCGTTAACCTAGGGTTAGCAAGGCTGGTTGTTACTTGTTGCGCTAGCTCCTGGTCAAAATGTTGAACAGTGCAATGTTAAAAAACGCACTTTTTTGGAAGTCTATATCAGGTTAGCAGGAAAGTACTGATTGAGGACGCTATTTTTACGTTTCCTACTTGAGACCGGACCGCCATTTTACGTGGTCATCTGAACCACGCTAAGGTCTTGCCGTTTGCAGCAGAATAAAAGCAATACCTTCATTTCTAAGTTCACTGATGGGTATAGGTCCATAGGGATCGAACCTGCGACCTACCGCTCTGCAGTTAAGTGCTCTACCGACTAAGCTCAGTCGTCCTGCCGCAATGTTAAAGTGGCTTTTCAACCAAGTTGAACGATAATATGGGCGGATGGACTAATTATTCCTTTGTAACTTGTTGAATAACGAAGTCAAACTCAAAAATGTTGAGTTTGTTTCCTAAACATTCAAAAAGCTGCAACATGTCTCGCCGTTTTTTCTTTTTTTCTTTTTTTTTTTTTTGAGCAACAAATGCTGAACTTCTCGCCGTTTTTTCTTTTTTTCTTTTTTTTTTTTTTTTTAGCAACAAATGCTGAACGTTTTTGAACCATGTTTTAGAGTCGTAAGTCAAGAAAACAAATAGCAATTTAAAATATGAAGAATGAAAACAGACAAAAAATTATCTTTAAGAAAAGTAACATGCAATAAGCATGATGTAAGCTACGATATTTTTAAAGACATTACTTTCAGAAAAACAATGCTAGCCCTCTGAAAGAGCGTATATTGTAGCCACAGCTGTTAAATCAAGATACAAAAACATGCGTTTTCATCACTTTTTTTCCATTTTACTCATCCTATGGACGGTTTAATTTCATGAATATTATATCAAATAATAATCATGCGGTAATAACACGAAAAAGAACAAAACAATTACCGGGTTTTGCTTCCTGTTTGTGAAGACAAAAGAGTCGAAGATCATCACGATATAAGCCAAGCACAGGGAAAGTAAAAGATTCTTGTGCACAAATATCCTTTCGGAGTTTCTTATTCTGTTAAAACAATCAAATCATCTGCCATTTTCAAACCGTGCAATATCAATCAGTTACTCAGTTGATGCACCATGCAGAGTAACTAGCTGAGGTGTATTTTAAACAGGTCATTTACAGGTCATTTACAGTCTATACTACATTACAAGTTTACCACCGTTAGCACCTATTCAGTCGCTCCATTTTTAGCTTCGGGCATTCAATATCGATGTAATCAGTTTCAAACTTATAATGATGATGTCATAATTGAGTATATCGTTACTTTCAGGTCTCGTTCGGGTATTTGATCACAGTTCAACTTAGCAACCATGCATTTAGAGTTTATAAAGAAATTCCACTGGCAAGTGCATGTTTAAAGCTTCTCGTTAAGACTTGTTGTATATACCTCTGTGGGTCTATAAGAAATAAGATGACATTGTCCCTGTATTTTATTCATTAATTACTCAGTAATAAGTCGCACTATGTGAGGGAATCCGGATTAAAGAATTTAGGAAACTTTTGCTTGTGGCATTCGGAAACCCAGTTCCGCTGAAAAAGAATCTGGAATTGAGTACCTGGAAACCGGAATCCAGGCCAAGACTCTCTACTCTCTAGGATTCCCTTTTATACACGGGGGGAATGATCTTTTTAAATTGCTGAGAGGCAAAGCGGCAATTAAGTCTCACCTTAAAAACGAGAGAGCAATCAATGAAATTATAACAGCCATGATGGAGATACTGCTCAGTACCAGGTCTAAGTAACCTCTGATTAAGGCTTTTCCATGCTTTTCCTCGTCCATTATTTCTTTACTTTTTATCTGCAAATTTCCATTTTCCTAAAGGGAAAAATAACGTGTGTGGTATTCAGTAGAATCATAGAACATTAACGCAATTAGTTGCCTTGAATAGCGATTTGCTTGGACTAAATATGACTATCTTGCGCTTGCGCTCAGCCATATCACCCGAGCCATTATTATGTCAATCGAGCACATAGCGAAAGAGTTTTAAAAGCTCTCAAAATGTCGCAGTAACGTGAGGGGAAATGGATAATAGTGACCTGGCTGCCATCAACAGTCGGCATACAGAAAATCAACAACAAAGTACAAAGACCAAGTAAGTGAACAGATGTATTTTGTAAAGTTTAGTTTCGTTTTTGGATCTATAAAGCAACTAGTTTAGAATGCAGTGGTGTGTGTGGCGAAATCTTTTCTTTCCCCTTTTCCTACCTGATACTAGAGATAAGAGGTTTAAATTGCACTTTCCACCCGCCTTTTTAGATTAGCTTAGATTTCTTTTTTGGTGCTGAGTTCAAACCCGGGTGATGAACGGACGGGAATGCTCTTGGCCTCGTTGCGGGGGGAGGAGAGATTCCGGGGGGGGTGCTGAAACTTAACTTGCAGATTTAGGTATCAGTTAGGGTGTTCAAGGAACGCCACTCAGAATTTTACCCAAACAGGCATCACTAAGGGCTCTACGTGAAGAAATAGAGCAACCAGAAGAAGGAAAAAAGTATGAGAAAAAGACATCAGTCAGTGACGTCTTTATCGTGATTTAAATTAATTACTGAACTTTTGCTTGGTCGTCTCTTGGGAAAGGTATATTTAAGGGGTTGAAGAAAGCCTAAGCGACGCCTAGATCTAGCTCATCATCATTATTATCATCACCACTTTTATTCATACACGGTAAAGCATTATGCTAAATACAAATATCGCTAAGTACATATATATACTTTGAAATCCCAGAATATTACAAACTATTACATTAACACTAATAGCACTTACAATAATGATTGTTGAAATAAATAAATAAATAAATAAAATCAATTTATTTATTAAATTAAGGCCTGTTTTCCATGAATGCCGTGTTCGAGCTAGAAGTTCGACAGTTTCCGAAAGCTAGTCAAAGATTTTTCTTGTCTTACATCAGAGGGCAAATTGTGCCACAAAACATTCCCGCTGAAGCAGAAGCTCTTTCTATGGTATTTGGTTCGTGGCAAGGAAACAGCAAGCTTATTTTCAGAATCTCTAAGGTTGTATGAAATAAAATATATCCCTGCGCGAATATAAATTTTGAAGACAGGTAACCAGGTGCAAGGCAATTCAAAGATTTACACACCATCACAGCCTAATGAATTAGCCGCTGAGTTTCAAGGTTTTGCCACTTAAAGTCACTCGCATCTGCATCATAATTGGAGTTTGTGAGAACGCGCGCCGCACAGTTCTGGAGCCCCTGTAATTTATCGCGCAAAAGGGATTAATTCCATTTTTCCGACAAGCGTTCCCGCTCCCTTTGCAATAGTGGGATTAAGCCCCCCAAGACGTTCTTGATTGAGACGCGCTGAATACGACTAGCTTTATTTACAACGAGACGGACGAGATTTCTGCTACACTGCTTCATCTATAACATCACGAACTGCCCTACTACACGTGCATAACCAGAACGCGAGATGCATTACGTGCACAGCGGCAATGTGTGAGAACCATAAATTCCAAACGTCATTTGCAACATATTACCTACATCATATTCCACCCAAGAGCAATTTGCATACTCAAGGCGAAGAGAAACATGGCTTTCATTCACCTGGTAAGTAAAGAGAAAATAACATCGGTGACAGGAAAATGAATCAGTTTTTATACGTTAAGATAACGTCAACATGAAAAATGCGTTATGTTGACGGCCAAAATCATAACCAAATTTTCTTCAGTTATCTTTCAGCTGAGCCGGGAGCTTAGCAAGGACGAAGGCGACGGCAGCAAAAACGTGATTTTAACAGTTGACTTCGTGTTATTCAAACTTTTTTGCAATTCGTTTTTACCCGCCGCCTTGAAAGGCAAATAGAGATTAATCTTTCTAAGTTGAATTCTTGGGGACCGCGTTCTATTTGCCGTCTCTCGGCGTTGTCGGTGCTTAAGGTTATTGCCCCCGCAGGGATTTCGCCCAGAAGGCGAAATTCCGAGGAGGCACTCTAGATTATATTAAGGAAAGTACTTACGGTTGTAATATACAATCATACAGTCAATATAGAAAAAATCTCGATTTGCTTGAACAGGGGCCGCGAGGAATTGGTAGGTAATGAAGACGTTTCTATTGTTTGCGCCCGCAAGTACGAAATGGTTAGGATGACGTAAAGACAGAAAATCCCGAAGGGACCGCTTAGGTAGATTTTGTGACATACTTGGATACTCTTTTGCGTTACGTGTTATCAGTTATGGACCAAAAGACACTCGTTAAGCGCAGATGAAGTTATAAGATGCGTATAACTGTGTATATAAACACTTGTAGAGTCAGTGCCAGACACAAGTTCACAAATCTTTGACTGGAAACCTTGCCAGACACTCTTTCTCTCTCTTTGACCGAAATAAGACTCAGCCCCAAACAAGCAAGACGAGTGAACAACGGCTAGCTTATCACTAGCAGAACGGTGGACGATTACAGAAATTCGCCGACAATCAAATTCTGTGCTTACTTATTCCCTGCTCACAGATGTCCTTCAGCTATAAAGTTTAAAAAAGACTAGAATGCGCGAGCGTGAATTGATCAAACGTCCTTTTAATTTCTAAGGCTTACTTTGCGGTCCGGCAAATAAAAGGAACTGAATGTAAAAAGTGAAAGCGAAATAGCGAAAAATCCAACTTCTAATTAAATCTTTTCTTATGGTTTAGAATAAACTATTCTCGAAACTGAGAATGTTTTGATCAAAGCTGTGTTAATCGAACTGAAACTGTGCATGGAACCTGGCGTTTATCTCACCTTTTGTATGGAATATGTGTGAAAATCTTCATTATGAATCGGTATATTTCAAAGAGCTACACAACGAGCAAGAATACTATTGACCGACAATATACAGAGCGGGGGCAGCTGTAGTGTCAACTATTACTAGTCAATAACTCTATTTACACTTTTACTGTACTTGGCTTCAGCGTACATGTATTAAGTAATGAAACGTTAATATTTCAAATTATA